CTATTCTGAGTCGGTTCTGACTCATCTCAACCTATGGATGGAGTGGAACTTTCCCAGGGGGTTTCCTAGGCTGGCAGATGGCCAGCTCGTTCCCCCCTCAGAGAGCCCGGGAGGGTTAGGGTTGCTGACCTTGGAGTTCACAGCCAAGTCCTTCATCTTTGTAACACCAGGGATCCTTTGCAATATTCCAACCTTTAGGAAATCTAGCCGAATCCGTTCCCTGGACACTGAACTCTGATCGCTCAACTCTAAAATCCTCTTGTTTTGTTTGTTTGTTTTTAATGAAAATACCTTGCTCTTGTTTCATGATTGTTCATTAGACTTCCTGTTCTGGCATCATCCAAAGGATGCTGATCTCAAATTTTAATACTTTTAATACAGAAGGCGGGTATTGGATCTGTTTTTCCCTTTAAATTTTATTTTGTTGTGATTGCGAAACTTATACCAATCTAACAGCTTCCACACGTACAATTTAGTGACATGAATTGCATCCTTCCGGTGTGCAACAACTCTCCCCTTCCTGTCCCGGGTTGTCGCTCCCCCATGAACATAGACTCACTGCCCCCTAAGGGTCCTGTCTTCTCTCAGACTGCTGTTGTCACATTGATCCCGGAGGGATGTTCTTAAAAGAGCTAATGCTTAAGGCAGCATTGTTTCCTAATAAGCTAAACTATTGTTGAGTTAAATAAATAAAAAGCATGGGATTCCACTGAAAGATGATCTCAAGACAATCGTTTCTAGGGTTCTTCTATTTTTCAGGAATTTAGAAAGTCTAGAGTCCATGAGGATTTGAAATTAATTTCTACATTTTCTCCTTCGTATGCAGGATTATTCGATGGGATCTTTGAATAAAATGTCCAGGAGTGGTTGCCAGGCACGCGCCACGTCTGTCAGTCTCGTGGCACAGGAAGCAGCTCCTCATGGAGGCACGAAGGACTGAGCTGTCTACTTCAGCAGAATTAGCCACCCCCAATCCTACGGATAACAGAGGGGCCATGGCAAAGGACAGCCTCCACATCTAGAAAGTGTACATCTCAGCACAAAGATAAGTAGACACAAATTTGTTAAAATAAAAAAGCAGGAACACCTGTTGATAGATTTCCCTTTGTCATTGGCCCAAGACTCAAGTCAGAGGGCATAGCTCCCCGGCTCTCCCGCCCCATCTTCCCCGGCCCCCGCAGGGAGCCAGGGTAGCTGACTGACTGATCTGCAGAGACGTCCAAATGGCTAACAACCCATAAAATAATGCTCCCAATCACTAGCCATCAGGCAGATGCAAATTAAAACCACAAGGAGAGACCACTTTACACCCACCATGCCAGCCCAATTAAACACACACACAAACAGAAAACAACAAATGCTGGGGAGGCGGTGGAGAGATTGGAACTTGCACACACTATTGGTGGACTTGTAAAGACACACACCCACTATGGAAAATGCTATGGTTTACTTAAAGCAACCCAAAATTGAAATCCCATATGATCCAGTAATACCACTGTTAAGCATATACCCTAAAGAAATGAGACATGACACAAGTGGAAGTATGTTCTCCCATGTTGACAGAATCACGGTTCACAATAGCAAGACACTGGAAGCAGCCCAAATGCCCAAATGGCTGAAGAAAGACTACAGAAGGGATGGTACACACCCAATGGAAGACATCACATCCCTAAAACACGGTGCCGAAAGCATGAAACACCACACGGCACGGAAGGACCTGGAAACCACTGCGCTGCTTGAAATTAATCAATCACAGAAGGATAAACATCGTGTGAGTCCACTACTATACGGAGAAACACCAAGTCAGCAAATCTTGGGGACCAAATCCCAAACAAATGGGCAGAAAGTCTGCCTGCCCATCATGAGCCATACATCACCCCCTTATGTGCATTTCATAAGAGCCAC